AGACAAGTTTGGACAGGGATCATGTTATTCTTTTCACCAAAGGCAACATGACTTCCTATTGCTTATGAATAAAACATTTTTTTTCTTTTTAGCGTGCCATCTATGGCCTGCCTCCATCTGATCTCATTCCACAATGACCACCCTTACCAATACACCCTTATAATCTTCTTAACATTTTTCTCATTCTTTAGTATCTGACTCATCTATCACCCCCTCCAGAAGCCTTCCTCTTCTTCCCTCTTTTGTACTTCATCTTTGTACCATGTTCTTCTAGGTATTGCTTTCTACCTCTGTAGCTTTTGTGTACACAATGACCTCCCCATCTAGAGTATATACACCCTAAAAACAGGGATTGTGACTTAGTCATCCTTTCAGTCCTCATGCTGCGGAGACTAAAGCCTCGGGGAATAGTTTAGCTCATGTTATTCTACTGCTTAAGATCTCCTATTGCTCCAGTGGCTTCCTATATCACTCAGTCAATGACAGAAGCCCTACATAGGACTACATGGTCTTATAGTATGGAATGTTCCTGTTACCATTCTCCCCTTGCTCCTTGCTGTTCCTCGAACACATCAGACAAGATCCCACCTCAGAGCCTTTGCATTTGCTGTTCCTTTTATTGAGACACTCTTTCCCCAGATATCTGCATGGCTTGCTTTCTCAATTTCTCAGGGCTTTTCTCCAAGGCCACTTTCTCAATGAGGCCTTCCCCAATCACTGTATTCACATTGGGACTCTTGCAACACTCTCTTTCCCTCTCCCCTGATTATTGTTTCTCCACAGCAGACATCACCTCCTTACATAACACAGACTTGCCTCATTTATTGTGCTTCTCTCTCCCCTTGCTAGAATGTAAGCTGCACCCTAGTTTAAATCTGTTTGTTTACTTCTGCATCCCCAGAACCTAGGATAACGCCTGGCATATGGAAGACACTCCATAGGTATTTGTTGAAAGTAAGAATAATTATACTAATAGAAAGTGTTCAATAAATATTTGTTAAACTGAATGAAAAGTGTCAGGAACAGATGACTGAACTTTCCAAATGTTAAAAATACGTTGGCTTAGGAGAACTGTGAAATTGAGTGAAAGCTGCCTCATCATAAACATCCTTGAGAAAGAACAAATCGTGTCTTTGTGGTGGGAGGGGCAACCAAGCAAGGCAACGCAGACCTTGCGGACACATTAGGGACTACACGGCCGGCCGGTTAACCCCACAGCCTGCCTCACTTCCCCCTTTGGACACCGTCTATCACGCAGGTATTTCTCTGAAGTTGTCTCCTCAGCTTGTGAAGCACCCAGAAATCTTGAATGGCTTACGTGACACTTCTCAGGTGTAACTAGGAAACTACCAGGAGTAAAAATGACAACAAAACAAAACAAAAAAACACCACCCACGACTAGATTTTGGGTCTTGGGGAAGCGGAGCCCCGTGTAGAATGGCGCGGAGGGAAACTTTCCGCCTTCTCCCAAGGCTCCGCCCTGACGCTGTTTATCTGAAACCCTTGTCTGCCTCACTTTTGCAGCCTCCTGATCTCCGCGTTCCCTCTTCTCTCCTGGACCCTTCCCTCTTCATTCCTGGACCCATAGTATTTTTTTTCTCCTCCTCCTCCTCCTCCTCCTCCTCCTCCTCCTCCTCCTCCTCCTCCTCCTCCTCCTCCTCCTCCTCCTCCTCCTCCTCCTCCTCCTCCCCCTCCTCCTCCTCCTCCTCCTCCCCCTCCTCCTCCTCCCACTCCTTCTCCTCCTCCTCCTCCTCCTCCTCCCCCCCCCCCCACCCCGTTTTGTTGCTGCTAGACGCCGGCCTTCTCTTTCTTTGCTGTTTCCATCTCCTGCGCCTTGACTGTAAACAAAACACGTTAGTTGTTAGTTAGCTTGTAGCAAGGTGGATGTAGGCAGTTTTCCTGCTGCCAGCCAGACGTCTTAAGGTTGTGTGCGTGTCGCTGCTTTACTCCTCAAGATGAACAAAACCACAACATGGTGCTCCTACATATGAACTGAAGAAAGGTTCATTACGTATAGAGGATAGAAGTATTACTTTTCTACTTTTATGTAGGATACTGAGTCCAAAAATAAAATGAAACTCTGCGGCAAGGGGGAATCCTAGAGGATCTCCATTTACATAGTTGTGGTAGTTTGTGTATGAATGCATGTGAATGTATGCTAATATAGCATGTAGCATTCCTGTATAGTCTAGCAATTATTTTAAAAAATTTCGGCCACAAAGATCTCATTTCAGGGATGGGGTATAAATTATGGCACTGAGGCCTACCCGAACTGGGCTGTCCCTCTCTTCCTCTTCTCTAGTCTAATAACTCTGGGGTCATTCGATGTAGACAAATGAAGATGAGGCCACCTACTTTTATCCCAGGTGAAATATTTTCTGTCAGGAAAGAAGTCCTGACTTGAAGCAAGTATTGGGCACTGCCTCCCTCACTGCTCCCTGCGTAGGGTATCACCCCTCTCCTTAGGGAATCTGCATTTTAGTTGAAATCATGGATAGTGATACCAAAGGCCAGTGACGGTGGCATTTAAGTAGCAGTGACCACAGGCCACATCAAGGAAAGATCTGCAGGCATCCCCTGGCATGTGAACGAGCCATTTTGAATTATTTTACAATAATTCAAATTTTACAATAATCTGCAAGAGAGAAGGACCTGCAGATTACAGCACAGGCAAGCACAGAAAAAACAAAAAACAAACAAAATCTGAACCAGTTGGGGCCATCAGGTAGGAAAGAAACAAAATGAACCAGCCTGAGAGAGGAGACCTCTGTGTTCCTGGACAGGAATCCTCCGAGTGTCCATTTCCTCAGTGGTTAAAAAAAAAAAAAAAAGGGTGTGTGTGTGTGTGTGTGTGTGTGTGTGAACCATAGGGCTGGGAAGGTCTCTCTGAGCTCTAACACTATGGTGTGTATGAGGTGAAGCAGGCACAGAGTGAACAAACAACAACGTGGCTAAGAAAAGTTGAAAATCAAAGTCACCTGTAGCCTAGGTGCCTAAGAAAACATTGCTGCTAAGGACTATTAGAATGGAAGGAGATTAGTTTCCAGTAAAATAGATTAATTTGGACTCAAACCAAGATTATTTGTTTGGGGGGGGTGGTGGCAGTTGAAGACCCAATGAGATCTGAGATGCCACAGCCGTGCCCTCGCTGTTTTACCTCCTACCACCATGCTTGGGACCACACTGACAGGGAAATTTCAGGTTGGCAAGGGGAGCCGAGAAAAGTCCGAACAGTATCAGTTCTAAAGACAGGGTTGTATGGTTTTAGAAATCACTGCATAATCTGGACTTCCAGATTATGAAAAGTCCAAAAGCATTCACTTGGCAGCTGCCTGTTGTTCTGGGTGGGAGACGTGCCTCTGGAGAGAAAGGAGGGAAGCAGGAAGGAGCTGTTGTTGGCGGCGGGACTCAGGTAGAGGAAACTACTACCACCGGGGAAAGAACTGAAAACATACACAAAGAGATGAGTTCCTACATGCAGCCCACGTCCATTGCTTTATCCGTGTTTGGGAGGCAAGGACCTGGGCCAGGAGTGTAACCTCGCTTTTGAACACTAAAGATGTTTTGAGACAGCTACAAAGTTTATTTAGGGACTCCGGAGAGACCAGTGTGCGTTTTAGATCCTGAAATCTTATTTTTTTTATGGAGAGCTTGGGTCCAGAATATATACTATTATAAATGCCACGCCTACCCCAGGCTCATCTGTAGAAAGACGTTCGCTTTGGCTTCTTCCCTAAGCCCTCTGTCTCCCCTAGAATAGCTAAACTCCAAGGTTCAGGGTGAGCTAACCACTGCTCATCCACAGCGAAGGCTCCCAGACCCTCGAGCCTAAGCATTTCCCCGCCTCTCCCGCAAGGCTAGGAGTTGGGGCAGCAGGTAACAAAGAGCCCAGCGGCGGGCAGAGCCCTCCCATGTTTGCCTCCCCCCCACCCCCACCCCCCATAGCTGCCCAGGGGAAGAGACAAGATCGCCACCGAGGCGCACAAAGAGCAAGCAGCCAGCAGCCTTTGCGAACGTCTGGTCCAGCCCTGCGCTTCCCCGCAGAGGAGCGGGAGACTCGGGCTCCGGGCGGGACGGCTGCGCGCCCGTCCGCGCAGCGCCAGGCCCCGCCGCCCCGGCCCCTCCCCACCTCCCCAGCCGTTTGGCTAGTTTGTTTCTCTCTCTCTCTCTCTTTTCTTTTTTTATTTCTCCGAGGCCAGCCGGAGCAGGTTTGCTGGCAGCCGTACACCTCCAGCAATCACGGGACCAGCCAATCGCGGCGCGCTCGGGGAGGGAGGCGGGGAGGCGGAGGATCGCTCCGGGGCCACCTTAAGGCCGCGCTCGCCAGCCTCGGCGGGGCGGCTCCCGGCGCCGCAGCCAATGGATCTCCTCCTCTGTTTAAATAGACTTGCGGGCGGTGTCAATCATTTTCTTCTTCGTCAGCCTCCCTTCCACCGCCATATTGGACCACTAAGAAAAAAGGGGGCTCTGGGCTTTTTCGGGGTGTGTTCTTCTCCCCTTTTCCCCTTTGGCTCATCCCGCCGCCACTCCGACGCCGGCCAGGTTAGGAGAGCCGCTCGGTGCGCGGGAGCCGCGCGCGGGCTTGCCAGCAGCCGGCCTGCCCTCGGACGGGCTCCGCGCCCCCGCCTCTCGCCTCGCCTCTCCCCTCCCCTCCCCGCCCCGCCCTCCCGCTCGCCCGCGGACACTTGATCGGCGGCGGAGACTCGGGGCCGCCGGGCCGGGGCTTCCCCTCACCCCTCCCTCCCTCCGCCCAGCGCGCTCCTGACGTCCGCCAGTTACTCGCTGGGGTTTGTTGCTCTTGGCTCCCGGGGCCGGCGCGCAGGGCTTTATAAGAGCAGTCCGGGCTGGGTCGGGGCGTTTTTGTTTTTGTTCGTTTTTTTGTTTTGTTTTGTTTTCCGAGATAGAGAGAGAGAGAGAGAGAGAAGAGAGAGCGAGAAAGGGAGAAAGGAGAGCGCGCGCAAGAGAGAGGCGGTCGGCCGTCCGGACCCGGGAGGAGGAAGATGTCCACCGTGCGAGTGTCTAACGGGAGCCCGAGCCTGGAGCGGATGGACGCGCGGCAGGCCGAGTACCCCAAGCCCTCCGCCTGCAGGAACCTCTTCGGCCCCGTGGACCACGAAGAGCTGAGCCGGGACCTGGAGAAGCACTGCCGGGACATAGAGGAGGCCAGCCAGCGCAAGTGGAACTTCGACTTCAAGAACCACAAGCCCCTGGAGGGCAGGTACGAGTGGCAGGAGGTAGACAAGGGCAGCTTGCCCGAGTTCTACTACCGAGCCCCGCGGCCCCCCAAGGGCGCCGGGAAGGTGCCCGCGCAGGAGGGCCAGGACGGCAGCGGGAGCCGCCCCGCGGCAGCGGCGGCGGCGGCGGCGGCAGCGGCGGCGGCGGCAGCGGCGGCTGCGGCGGCGGCGGCGGCGGCGGCGGCGGCGGGGCCGCCCGTCGGGCCGCAGGCGAACAACGCCGAGGACATGCACTTGGCGGAGCCCAAGGCGGAGGCGCCCGACGGCCAGCCGGGCTTAGCGGAGCCGTGCGCCGGGATGAGGAAGCGACCTGCCGCAGACGGTAAGGACCCGCCCTCCCCAGGCCATAAAACGTCTGTCCGTCCGTCCGTCTGTCCGTCTGTCCGTCTGTCTGTCTGTCTTGTCTGGGGCACCGCCTTGCCCGCTTGCGGGGCTGAACCCACCCCCTTTCTTCTCAGCCCGCTCTGGCGCAGCTCCCCAAGGAGGGAACTTTCCGTAATCGTAGGTGGCGCGTGCCGTCGGGCTGCTTCTCTGTGTGTTTATGATTTGTGAGTCAGGAGCCCGAGATTGTTTTATCTGATAAGTTTGCTAACCGAAAGCATCGCAGATCCTGCCTCCCGTCCAGCCGGCCGGGGTGGGGTGGGGTGGGGGGGTAGGTGACAAGGTTGGGGTGTTTATCAGTGGCCTCCCTCTGCACTCGGGAGGCGGGCGTTTGGGAGGAGGGCGTTTGGGGCGTAGCAAGCACAATCTGTTCTGTTAAAAAAAAAAAAAAAGAAAGAAAGAAAACAACTTCAGTGTGTGCCCTGAAAAGGCTCCTTTGGTATGACGGGCCCAGGAATGGTGGGTGGAGGTGGTGGGTTTTTCATTCCTTCCCCCGACTATTGAGCCAACTTCTGCCAGCCATTGTTTTTTTGTGAGTGTGTGTGTGTGTGTGTTTTTTTTTTCCTAATAAAGATTGTTCTTTTTCTTTTCTTTTCTTAATTCCTTCTTGTCCCTAGATGCCTCTACTCAAAACAAAAGAACCAACAGAACAGAGGAAAACGTTTCAGACGGTTCCCCGAACGCGGGCTCCGTGGAGCAGACGCCCAAGAAGCCGGGCCTCAGAAAACGTCAAACGTAAATGGCTCTCGGGTGGGTTGATGACTTAGGAGCACAAATAACTGACGCCCAGGTCGGCCTGCAGGAACCCTTGGAGCTTTCAAACCCCAAGATAACCTGATCTTAGTGGTGGCCGGCAGATGAGAGCTTTGTGGGTTTTTCTTTTGTTTATTTGTTTCAAAAAAAAAAAAAAAAAAAAAAGCAGGCATGGCGAAGGCTGGGGCATCACTGTGGGGATACTGTTATTTCTTCACAGTTTCCATGTCCTCGGGTCATTTTCCCTTGGAACATGAAATGACTAGAAATGACTAGAGCAAGCGTCCCAGACAAGTCCTCGTAAATCAGGGGCCCTGTGGGTAGCAACCTAAGTTCCCTGTGAGTCCCACCAAAACATGCTGGGAATAATAGGTTCTTTCCTCATCTGACCAAGACCAAGGAGTGTATATGCCTCAGACCCACTTCAGGAGAATTCATTTCCTAGAGGTTCCAGTTCTGTGAATAACAGATTCTGGGCCATACATGAAAAAATGCCCCCCTTCCCCCAACATCCCCCCCCCCCCCCCCCCGCAAAAAAAAAATTACATTTAAAATTTGAGGGAAATGTTAGGTACACATGGTTCATATTTGGTTGATCAAACCGAAATGCAAAAAAAGAGGTGTGTTGTGTTCTTGTATCATTTCTATACACTGTCACTTTCCCTGCTTTCTGATAAGTTTGAGGTCAGAGAAGGAAGCTGCATATTTTGAAAAACCAAAATAGAAAGCTCAAACACCAGCAACAACAACGAAGGTTCCTACAGAAGTTCTGGTAACCCTGAAGTTGCAAAGCAGAAGTTAAATTAACTCTGCCAGAGTAAGCAGTCCAGGAACACGTCAGCATGTGTATGCTAATCATGCTGTAACAGGGCGATCTCGAAATCTGTACAGGGAATGGATAGTAGATATCAGGGTTGTCGAGGGTGGGTCTGCCCCCAAACAAGGGAAGTGGAGATTTTTCTATCTACTAAAAGCAATCAACATAAATAATTGGAGTAACTCGCCTCCCCCAACTTTACATAGATTAGCTATTCATGATGATCAAAGTATTGATATGAATAGTTTGTATACTTCTTACAGACAAGATTGTGACCTCTTCTCCCCCTTCCCTCCCCCCAATACATGCTCATAGCTTAGCATATAAAGAGATCTTAATAGATGTTGGTACTAACTTTTAAAATCCTCATTTATAAAAATTTAAAAATAAGTTAACCGCCCTAACCGGTTCATCTCAGTGGCTAGAGCATTGGCCTTTGGACTCAAGGGTCCCAGGTTTGATTCTGGTCAAGGGCATGTACCTTGCTTGCAGGCACATATCCAGTAGGGAGTGTGCAGGAGGCAGCTGATGGATGTTTCTCACTCATCGATGTTTCAGACTCTCTATCCCTCTCCTTTCCTCTCTGTAAAAAAAAAAAAAAAAAAAAAAAAAAAAAAATCAATAAAATATATTAAAAAAAATAAGGGAGCCATAGGGATTGAGGTGGGATTCAAGTGTGTGGCATATTTATTTATTTATTTAAAAAATATATTTGTATTGATTTTTTTCAGAGAGTAAGAGAAAGGGACAGAGAGCTAGAAACATGGATGAGAGAGAATCATCGATCAGCTGCCTCCTGCACACCCCCCACCTGGGATGGTGTGTGGTGTTTTTAAATCATAATGTCATATATATGACTTCTTCAGATACATCTGATTTTTTCAGAGCTTATATAAAATGACACTGCAGACCCTCTGTGTTACAGCTGTATATGAAGAGGGGAAATTGGATGAAAACCTGTTCTGGCACATCCTCATCACCTGCAGCTATTGTTGGTTTGTGACTTGTGGCCTAGCTCATTAGATGAGCCACAGTGAACCAGACCTACTGGATTTTGACCTGGTTCCATTCTGACATAGAGAGGCATCTGCTACTAAATACTGCCCTTTTAGAGAATACTAGAAATAATAGTAAAGCACTATTCAGGAGCATTCATAGGTATGTGCTGTATAGGACTAAGACACTAAGACATCGTTTCTCAAATTTAGAAAATTTTGCAACTCTTAAGTGTTACAGTTTCTTAATTTTTCCTCTCTCTGTTCTTTCTCACCATCTTTGACCCCGATTCTCTAGACCAGGGTTTCTCAACCTCTGCACTGTTGACACTTTGGGCCAAGTAAGTCTTTGTTGTGGGAGGTTGTCCTGTGCGTTGTAGAATGGTTGGCAGCATCCCTGGTCTCTTCCACTAGATGCCAGTAGCAAACACCCCCCCTCCCCCCTTGTGACAACCAAAAATGCCTCCAAACATTGCCAAATGTCTCTTGGGGGACAAAATTGCCCACTGTTGAGAACTAATGCAGTAGACAAAAGTCTACAACACAGAGGAGAGCAAGGGAAGAAACGTTGGATAGAGAGGTCTATGGCCATCCACTTTTAGTACTACTTACTTTCTTAGTTGGTATTTCCCAACTAAGAGAGTGACAAATAACTCCTGTACTTTATGGGTAATGTTATTCTAATACTTTTCTCATAATACTTTCCTCTGTTTCTCTTGCAGAATTGAGAGGATGTTTCCTTGTTTATCAGACACTTCACTGCTTGGCGAAGCAAGGAAGATATGAATTTAAACATTTTAAATACATATCGCTGACTCCATGGAATGGACGTCCTGTATAAGCACTGAAAAGGAACAACACAATAACACTAAAATTTTAGGCCCTCTTAAAAGTGATCTGCCTCTAAAAGCATTGGATGTAGCATCATGCAATTAGGTTTTTCCTTATTTGCTTCATTGTACTACCTGTGTATATAGTTTTTAGCTTTTATGTAGCATATAAACTTTGGGGGAAGGGAGGGGTCGGTGGGAAGGGTGGGGCTGAGGAATTGGCTTTGGGAGGCATGAAGAGCTTGCTTTCGATTTAGAGCAAGGAGAAAATTATTTGACTTTAACATGAAGAGAAGCAGTTTAAGGAAGGGGTTTGAATTGTTTTCTTTAAAGATGTAACGTCCCTTTCAGTGAAAGCTGATACTTCGTTTTAAAAATCATTCAAATTTGAACACTGGCTACAAAAATTGCTATTTATTTTTTACATGAAGCTATTTTTTCATTTGGGAGCTCTAATGATTCCGTTATGTAGCAGTAAATGGCTTTTTTTTTTTTTTTTTTTTTTTTTTAACAAAAATCTGTCCTCAGTGCTCCCCTTAAAATTGGAATTTACCAGTTAATTATTTAGCAATTTAGGTAATCACTCCAGGTAATTATAGGCAAAAAAATAAAAATAAATGGAGGAGGGGAGTCTGAATGCTCAGAATCAACCATCTAATTTTTATCAGATTTGTTGAGAAAATTTCTGAATTTTCTTTTTCACTTTGTGCTAAATAATTCTAAATCCTTGGATATTTTTAAAAATATCTGTAATTCCACATGAACAATAATGAAATAATTTTAAATTTAAAGTTTCTTATTCTATTTGCTAATTTGCCCAAAGGAAATTAGTGTTTTAAGAGGTAAGTGTGTATACAAAAAGCCGTCTGGTAGAAGTGAAATGGATACTACATCTTTAAACAGTATTTTTCATTTCCTGTGTATGTATATGAAACAAAACCATTTGAAGTGTACCTGTGTACATAACTCTGTAAAGACACTGAAAAACTATACTAACTTATTTATGTTAAAAAAAAAAAATTTTTTTTTTAATCTAGACAATATACAAGCCAAAGTGGCATGTTTTGTGCATTTGTAAATGCTGTATTGGGTAGAATAGATTTTCCCCCCTTCTTCTGTTAAATAATATGGCTGTGCTTAAGAGGTTGCATACTGAGCCAAGTATAATTTTTTTGTAATGTGTGAAAAGACCCAATTATTGTTACATATCAAACAATCAATAAAGAAAGCTTCCATAGCTATTCATTGAGTTGAACTGTATATATTGTGTTTTACTAAGCTTGAGGTATTCAGCCTGGCATTTTAGTCATATTTACACAAATACAGTAGAAAGTGGGAAATATCTAGACAATTCACTCCCACAACTCATATGTTTATGTGGGTCCGAATGTGGTAGTAGCTGTTTTCCACTTAGTTCTATAAAGGTGGACAAAACTTTACAAGTAAAAAGTGGAAAAGCCATATTTTTATATAAATAAGATTGTTAAATTCTCCATTAGTTCAAATATTTATGTCTTCTAGGATATGAATGTGTCATAACTAAAAATTCTTACATAAGTGTACTCTGATCACACATTTGCAGGATTGAAAATGAAAGTAACATTGGTGGCTTCTCTAAATTCTCTATTTACACATGTAAAGTGTTGTGGGGAATTAGAGCAATTGTTTAGACCATCTAATCTACGCCCCTTGTGCAAAATATTCAAATTTATAGGCCCTTTAGAAATTAGTGTGCATTCAACACTAATTTAGATAAAACCACCAAATTTAACTCGTCATAAGTTCCTAAACTTATAAATTTCCTATCTATCCAATCTAAAATTGGTTAAATAAAAAAATCAGAGGGTTTTCGGTTCTCATATTCACAGCAGAGATAATTTTTACTTAAATAAGAAAAAAAATGAAGACATTCTAAAGTCAGGTTTACTAAAATAATTCCTGTAATTTTACATTCTCTTCAAAGTGTAAAAGTAAATTATTTTTTTTTCTAGGAAACTGCAAATGGTTAAATTGCAAAAATCTGAATTTGAGTTAAATTGTTTCCCTCAAGTAGTTACATTTACATTGTTGCTCCCCAAAAGCAGGCTGTAAACAAGATAGTTTCAGCTTATTTTGACTCGAAGTTGTGTGTGTGTGTGTGTGTGTGTGTGTGTGTGGTGTGTTTTAAAAATAGGGTTGACTCCCTACAGCTGCGGAAGGGAAAATTAGGTCCTTTGCTGGCTGGGCCACATTTTTCCAAGGTGGTATTATTTTAATTAAAGACGGAAAGGTGTTTTTTTGTGATCCTATTCAAAACACGTATGGGTGTTTTTCAGGAAGACACTAAGAAAGCAAGAAAAACAATTCAAAATGGGGAGGAAGGAGTGGAGGGAGAATCAGGAAATAATGAAATAAAGTTTCTCTGAACCCAAAAGGGTACTTTAAACATAAAAAAGTGTTTCTACCAGGGAAAAAAAGCCTCTCCGTTGTTGCATGTACCCCCTTTTCCCCTCCTAGAGAGGCACCTTGAATGTGAATTTTTAGAGGTTGCGTTTTAGGAGTGCTGGGCCAGGAGGCGGTGGATGCTCGCCGCGCTGGGCGCGTTCACGGGAACGCAGTCCCCCGTCGTCGTGCGGATCCGTCCCACGTCGGTGTCAGGTCTGCAGACGCGTTCCCCGCGGTTCGGAGCCCGCACCGCGTCCCTCCGAGGGGACCGGGGCACCGGCACCGGCCACCTCCCGCCCGGCCACCTTGGCCACTGCGCCGTCGTCTCCCCGATCGGCCCCGCAGTTCCGCGTTCGCCCGCCGCGGGAGGTGCGGGGTCGGGCCGGCTGGCGCTTCGGGACAGAACGACCACGTCTAAGCTCCGGGTCTCCAACGTGCGGCTCCCGCACCGCCGGGGTTCCCGAGCGCAGAGCCCCCCGCGCCCCGGCGCCCGCAGGCCGCGTCCCCGCCTGCGCAGCGGGGCTGAGCGGTTTCTCAGAAACTTGCCTCCCTCATCATCCCTCCTCTGGGCGACGAGAGGAGCGCAAGCCCCCTATTCCTCTCGGCACACAGACCCTCCCCATCACACTCAGCATGCTCCCTCCATGGTGAGCATGGAGGGGGGACTTGAGCGAAAGGGAGAACTTTTCCGAGTTCGTGTACCTTCCAGGGCAGGAGCACGCTCCCCTCCACCCCTTACCCCACCCCGGGCTCCAATGACCCGCAGCCCCGCGCTTTTCGAAAGGCTCCCCGGCTCGCCGGCAGCCAGAGGGCCGCAGGGGCGCACCGGGGGGCCACGCGCCACCGCCGCTCGCGGGGGTCGCTTCCTCCCGCCCAGCCGCTTGGCTAAGTCCCCTGTCGCATCCCCGGCTGCCTAGCCAGAGAGATGGGGCAGGGAAGCACTAGCAGATCGGTTGGGGATCGATTGGGGGACTGAAGGGGCCGAGGAAATTAAAAAAAAAAAAAAAAGGGAGCGGGGGCCGATGGCCTTGCTGGCCACGGTGCGCCCACCGCCCTGGCCGCGCGCGGCGACCTTTCCTGGCTGGCGTTTGGGTCGCTGCCTTCGCCATTTCATCTTCACCATCATGAGCGACGATACTTGCTCTTCTTAAGCTTTTTTTTTTTTGGATGGAAAAGGATGTTTTCAAAGCTCGTCTAGGCTCTCCCGATCTGTTTCTCCGAGTACTAACTTTTTAAAATTTGCCATCTCTTTCCACCTGAGCCACACCCTACGCTCAGCCCCCCTTCCCTCCCGGGCAAATTGAAGGTGAAAATACTGCCAGCGAGGCGGGGGCGGGGGCGGGGGTGGGGGAGAGTGCCCACGATCACGCCAGAGCCTCCACCCGGGGGGGGGGGGCAGAACTTGGGGATCTGGTCAACAGCCGGGCTCTCGTGGGGGTGGGGTGGGTGGGGTCAGCCTCAGAGCCCGCGGAACCGAAAGTGTATCTATTTACATGTAAACTTCGTCTATGTGTGTGTCCCCCACCCGCGTACCAGCTCCGTCTCGCGTGGGGATGGGGGTGGGGGGTGGGACACAGAGTAGCTGGGAATCGGAAAGTGAAAGATCCAAAAAGAACTCGTGAAACGTCGAAGCGCCTCGGAAGGAGCGCGAAGGAAAAGCAGGGAGGAGGCGCGCGGCCGAGCCCGGCCCGGCCCGGGGGATCGCATCCCCGCGGCTCCCCCGCGAGAAAATGGGCTCCGCACCGCGGCCACCATCATGGCGCTCGGGCCGGGCCGCGCTTCCCGCGCGCATTCCCCGGGCGCCCGGGCCACGGGCACCGCGCCTCCGGCCGGCGCTCTGCAAACATCGCCTCTCCCGCGCGCGCCTGCGCCCCCCCTCCTTTTGTGTGCCTGTGTGTGCCTGTGTGTGCGTGTGTGCGCGCGCGTCCGTGTGACTGTGTGTGGACCCGAGAACTTGCAGATTGTTTTTTTCCTCTCTCTCTCTCTCCCCCCCCCACTCTCGTGCTGGTGGTTGTAAACTTGATTGGCATTGGCTGCGCCCACTGACCCCTGCGTCGAGTCCACTGAAGATTTAAGGTGGATCCGAGAGGCTGCAGCTACAGGCGGAGGCTCGCGCTCGAGCTGGTTTTGGAGGAAAAAAAAATACATACACACACACACACACACACACACACACACACACACAAAATACACACACACACACACACACACACAGGTTTGGGAGGAAAACATACACACACAAAACAAACAAACAAACAAGCAACAACCCCAAACCGGGCGCCCGCCGTGTCTGTACGCCCCCCCCTTCCCCGCGCCCCGCCCGCCCGCTCGCCTCGCGCTGCCTCCGCCCACCGCCCGCTCCTTCCCCATTGGCCGCTGAGTGCAGTTTGAATTTTTTTTTTTTCCCTTTTCTTTTCTGGGATGCTTGTTTTCTTGTGAAAAAAAAAATAATACTGGTCTCCAGATCGTGAGCTAAAACCGCTCCTGCGGCCCCAGGTGAGGTGTGCAGCTGGTTTTGTGGAGGCGGGAAGGAAGCGGATAGGTGGAGCTTCGGTTCCAAAAATTTCCCCCGAAGCGCGGGTGACAGCGCGCAGACGGGTGGGGTGCGCGGGGTGCGCGGGACGCTCCGGCGGGGCCGGGGATGTAGTATCCGCGTTAATGGATGGCCAGGCCGCGCCGGGCCGCGGGCCGCGGGCCAGAGGCACTGAGGAGGCGCCCGCAGGAGCTCCGATGAGAATGCACCTCCCCTGCCCTGGAATGGTGGAATCAGGGAAGGCGGGAGGGCGAAGGCGGCCCGGAAAAGACCACCTCCCTACCAAGAGGAAAAAGAAAGAAAAGAAAAATAGAAGAAATGTAAATAAACGCGGGGGGGGGGGGGAAGTATTATTTCAGGAGCCACTAAGTCAGGGAATCACATAAGTCCGGCAGTCGATGTCATTTTTACTGACTTTAAAAAAAATAAAGTTAGTTGCCTCTCATGTCCAGAGTATTTTTATGGAAGGAGAAGGCTAAACCCCAGAGAAGGGATGGTTTCGAAAGTGCTTTGACTACTGGATCTGAAAAGTTAATTCTTTAGGATAATGTTAGTTGTAAAACTGGTCTACTACATAGGAGATCCTTCGTTAATTATAAGCCAACTATGTTTTACTTTATGATGAAAAGTTTTAAAGTTTGTTACAAATTTAAACTATTCTCCAAATCAGTTTATCTCCAGATTAGTGAAGTTGGCTTATAAGCATATGGGTGTTTTGTGTGTTTTTTTTTTTTTTTTTTTTTGGGGGGGGGGTGGGGACAGGGAAAGGGATAGTTTTATTTGTCACTATAGTTACAGTGTAGTTGACCATTTGAACTAGAATTTCAGCCCAGCTTTTAGTCTAACAGTTCCTATTCAAACCACCCCATCTATTTTGTAACTTTTAATTCCCCCAATACTTCGTAGCTCAACCAACCCCTTAAGGTAAGCCCAACCCAACTAAGCTGCTCAGACCACCATATGCCAATCTGCCTGTGCTCTTGGCAAGGAATTTTTGAGCTAAGATTGTCCCCAAATAGACTGGCTGGCTTCAGTGAATTCATCATTCCTGGAAGTGTGAGTCAAGCACTAGTCTGAGTGACCCCTCGATAAGGGACTTTGTAGAAAAGATTCGACTATCAAATGAATGTTAAGATTTGTGATTTTTAAAAAATATTTTTTATTGATTTTTTTTACAGAGAGGAAAGGAGAAGGATAGAGAGTTAGAAACATTGATGAGGGAGAAACATCCATCAGCTGCCCTCCCGGAACCAAGGTACATGTCCCTGACCAGAATTGAACCCCGGACCCCTCAGTCCGCAGGCCGACATTCTGAGCCAAACTGGTCAGGCCAAGATTTGTGATTTTTAAAGTCTATTCCAGACCCTTGAGATACTATATTTCCAACATTGGAGTCCCTGGGTTTCTACTAAATTAAGTAATTTCCCTTGCTCTTGAACATTTTCTAGAGTCGAGTTGTCCAGTACGGTAGCCAGAAGCCATATGTGGCTATTGAGCACTTAAATGTATTATAGTTAGTCCAAATGGAGATGTGCTGTATGTGTGAAATATACACTAGGTTTTCAGAATTAGTATGAAAAATATGTTAAATATCTCAGTAATAATTTTTTTAAATATTGATTTCAGAGAGGAAGGGGGAGAGAGAGAGAAACATCAATAATGAGAAGGAATCCTTGATTAGCTGCTGCCTACATGCCCCACCCTGGGGATCAAGACTGAAACCAGACCAAAATGTGCCCAGACCAAAAATCGAACCTTGACCTCCTAGTTCATAGGTGGAGGCTCAACCATTGCACCACACCAGCCGGACAATTTTTGTATTGATTATATGTTGAAATGATCAAACTTTTGAATTATGAGGTTAAATAAAAATATTAAATTTAAGTTCATGTGTTTCTTTTCACTATTTTGTAGGGTGGTTACTAGACAATTTTAATTTACAGATGTGACTTAGCATTTGTATGGTTGGACATTGCTGTTCTAGACCAACATGAAGCCCCTATCTTTGAGTTTGGTGGCTGGTAATACCAATTAGGTGGTAACTTCCAGCTGCCATCCTAACTTCCCAAGTTAAATCAAGGCTTAACCTCAGACATTGGAACCTTTTTAAAAAAATGTTACCAACACCTAACACCTACCATTTAATCTTTAACACAGTATTGAGTTTGAGCCCAGACCATGGAAATATGGTATAGATGTGTCTAATTAAGTTAGATTTGATCACAGCTTTCCATATTTTGTAAAGAGAGAAACTGGGAAGTCCAATATGTTAGGAATGACTCTGGAAAAAATTTAGACCCCAAATAAAACTTCCACCAGTAATTTTTCACTACCACTGTTCAGCAGACAGGACGGCAGTAAGAGAAGACTTGAACGAATGAAAAGGTGAGTCATATTTTTGGATAGGAATACTCAACATGATAAAGATGGCAGTAAGTTAATACCTTTTCAATTAAATTTATACCTTTACACTAAATTCTGATGAGATCCACGTAGTCATCCTATTTTACTCGGTTATTCTCTCGGTTTCAGCACTCAGAGCCAAATTATTTTGAAGACTGTAAATATGTTTTAATTTCTGATAGCACTAATCCCACACACCCCAACTAGACCCTTTTCAGAAATTTCCAGGCTTCTTTTGCTGGCCTTGCTTCCCTGTGTGAATTTAAAATGAATTTGTCTAGCTGCAAATATACTGTAATCCCTATTGGCATTAAAAAATAAAGTGAGATTTTTTAAAATATATATTTTATTGATTCTTTTACAGAGAGGAAGAGAGAGGGATAGAGAGTTAGAAACATCGATGAGAGAGAGTCATCGATCAGCTGCCTCTTGCACACCCCCTACTGGGGATGTGCCCGCAACCAAGGTACATGCCCTTGACCCGAATAGAACCCGGGACCCTTCAGTCCCCAAGCCGACACTCTATCCATTGAGCCAAACCGGTTTTGGCTAAAGTGAGATTTTTTATTTCACACTTTATACCAGGATAAATTCCTGAAGGACTTAAGTGAAGTATAAAAATATTAAAATTAAGCCCTAGCTGTTTTGCTTAGTAGATAGAAAATCACCCTGTGGACCAAAAGGTCCCAGGTATGATACTGGTCAAGGGCATGTACTTCGATTGCAAGCTCCTCTCTGGCCAGGTCCCTGGTTAGGGCTGGTGCAGGAGGCAACCAACTGATGTGTTTCTTTCACAGCAATGTTTCTCTCTGTCTCTTCCTTCTCTCTCCCTAAAAATCAATGGAAAAATATCCTCGAGCGAGGATTAACAACAATAACAAAAAAAATTTAAATTGAAAAAAATGAAGTTATGGACATACCAGAAGAAACCTCAGAGGATTAAAAAATCATAATCTCAGAGTGGGGAAGGTCTAACCATGACACAAAATGTAACATTCATAAAATGTAATATTGATAATTAGATGATATAAAAATGAAAACATTTTGCATGACAAAATCTGCCATAGTAGAGTGAAAAAAAAAATGAGTTGGGGGTTGTGTGAGTATACTTAGTGCCACTGAGCTGTATAGTTAAAAAAATACATTTTTAAAATGTATTTTATTGATTTTTTTATAGAGAGAAGGGAGAGGAATAGAGAGTTAGAAACATCTATCAGCTGCCTCCTTCATACAACCCTCCTGGGGATGTGTCTGCAACCAAGGTACATGTCCTTGACCTGAATCAAACCTGGGATCCTTCAATCTGCAGGCTGACTCTCTATTCACTGAGCCAAACCAGTTAGGGCTAAATATACTTAAAGTGGTAAATTTTATGTTGTTATGTGTAATTAAGTACATAGTAAGTAAGTAAAACCGCTAAAATATTTCAAAGGTCATTCATGTTCCAGCTAAATGAATTTTACACAGCGTTCTGGTCCCATCCTCTGGGGGACAGATACAGGAGCAGTTGTTTGACTTCAGGCTCTGGGAGAGCCTGCTTGGGTTTGAGTCCCGTTACCTGACGTACTGCCTGTGAAACTTGCTGCAGGTTACTCCACCTTTTACAGTTTCTGTTTCTGTGGCTGTGTAATGAGGCTGTTTACAGTTCTCTCATTGGGTTATTAGACTATTCAGTAAGATAATGTATGTGCAGTACTTAGCGTCATACCTGGTATACATTTAATAAATAGCCATTATATGTTCATAAACAATATAATTAATAGATGACCTGTTCTTATTTTGGATTCTCTGGTAACCACAACCAGCACTATTTATAACCTTGTAAATATGTTTTCTCATTTTTAAATATGCTCTTATTACCCTTAAAAAGAACAGATCTTTTTTTTTTGGTGGCATTTAATGAACAGAATTAAAGTATTGCATAAAATGGTCAAAATGGTACACTTTGTCATATTTCACCACAATATTTTGAAAAGCTTAAAGGCATTTGTTGAGTTTAGGGTCCTCTCTAATTATCTTAGAAAGAACCTGGTATGGATTCGTGTGTGGTACTAATCAGTAACACACCCATACAACAGATAATAAAAAATGTTTGCAATCCATACATCAAAAGGCTGATTTCCCTAATAAATATGTCTATAAATAAATGAGAAAAAAACAAACAGACCAGTAGAAAAATAAGCAAAGGCTATGAACATGGTTTTCAGAAAAGGAATACAAAAGGTTTCTAAAAAGTGGAAACATTTATAGTTTGAGACTGTTGGGACATAAATTATATAGAGAATACATGACTTTAAGTAAAGAGTTGCAATGTGTGCCCCTCAAATGCAAAGGTGACTTTTATCCTTCCTTGACTTCTGCTTCCCTCCCTTCTAGCCAAGGCTGAGTTTCCCCAGCTTCATTGACCAGAGAAGCAAGGGGTTTTCGTGTGTGGAAGCCATGACCACCTTTCAAGCTCAGGGTAAAATCTCTCTCATTCAAACCGTGTAATCTTTGGCTTACTGGCATCACCTTACTTTCCCCTAAAAATCCCCCGAATCAGCCTCTTAAAGCAAGTACAGTGACCTTTCTCCACACATTCGTCCATTCCTGTTTTTAATGCCTGTATATTAGCCAGTAATCTGAATCTCTGAAACCATCACTTGATTCTGGTTTTTCCTTCAAGTTCTCTATTCTCTTAAATCTTCAAGCAGAATTTATTATATGGTTCATATAGAACGTCAGAGTATATGATGGAGTAAATGGTGTTAGGTTAGAACCACACATACATAATGCCTTTTATATTATGTACTGTGGGTTCATACTTGGATTCAGTAGTTCCTTT